TGGGATGGCTGACACCCATTTCCTTTTCTTGGGAGATTTCAGGATGTCCACACTGAAGAAACTGACCCACCTGAGCTGGCTTCATGCTAAAGGATGGAAGATCACAGCAAGGAAACTACTCTGCGTGTCACAGTGGTGCTACCTACAGGTTAGCAGAGTACCTTTGAGCGCCTCCAAAAGGAGCCCCAGCTCCTGAGGACAGGGCAGTGTGGCGCTGTCAAGGGACAACTGCTGGAGGGACTTTGACGCTTTGAGCACGGGCAACAGGAACATGGTGTGCAGAGGTTCCCTGGGGAATCGGATCTCCAGCTGCTCCAGGCAGCTCTCTAAGGGAAGGAAAACAAAGAACAGTCAAAGAGCTTGGTCTGGAGCTAGGTCTTGGAGCAAGCAGGAAGTCCATGTGTCTGACAGGACTATCATTTACGTTGGCAGAAAGTACCTATGCGACACACCCTGCCTCACAGAGCTCTGTGGCAACTCAGACCTACAGTAACATAGACCACTTAAGGCTTCTTTCAGGACCCCTGCCAGACCACACGGCCACCAGTTTCTACGGTATTCTAGCACTGAAACAATGCTTGAGAAAAGGTCACCCTTTATGCACAAACCAGTCAGTGTCTTCCCAGAGCACAGCTCTTCACTGACCCCCCTCTGTACCTGCTCAAGCTTTGCTTCCTGCCTTTCAGGTCATTCAAGGACAATGAGACCTGTGGGCTGAGAAGACGCTGCTGAAGTTCCTAGACTGTAATCCAGGGATTTGGAAACTGCTTTGCCATCACCTGGGCTGTTGTGATGATCAAGAGATACTTCCCCTATGCTGAAAACTCCATCTAAAGCTTAGAGCCTCACAGACAACAGGATGGACAAAGCATGAGCTCCCAAGCAATCTACAGATCTGTGGGCTGCGTGGCCAGTCACTGCGGGATACGACTGGCCCTGGACAAAGCTGATGTTGCAGCAGGTTGGGGTAGAGCAACAAAACACTTTGTCTAAGACTCAGGCTCCACAGAGCATGTCACAAACTAGAAATGACAAACTGCAACACCATCTAAATCAGAAAGGTGAGGCCGTAATTGCTTAATTACACCCCGCTGTAACAACATAGAGTTCAAATCTGCTTGCCAAGTCCTGGCCATTGCTCAGAATGATGACTCCTACCTGGGATTTCTGCCTCGCTGCAGGCTGGATTCCCCTCTGGCCTGTTCCCTTCCAGCTGGTTTTTGAGGTCGAAGCTGATGGAGAGCGTGTGGAGCTGGGGAAAGGCGCTCAGGATGCAGCGAACGAGCTCCATGCACGGCATGTGGGAGAAGACGTCGCTGACACGCACCACGCGGAGGTGGCAGTCGGAGCGGCGGGAGAGGGCCCGGAGCCCCAAGAGGATGCAGAAGATGTTAGCACCCAGGCCTGGAACAGCATTTGTACAGAAAGGTGTTAGATGTGCCTGTACAGGCACCACCGCACACTCAGCTGGAGCTGCACCAACAGCCAGACAACCTACGCCAAAGGCTAAACTCACAGATTGTTATATCTACATGTTCTTAAGCTACAACACTGACAGTGTACACAGGAGAGGGAGATCTGGCTCTTCCCTTCACCCTGCATTTAAGCACAAGGCCTGGGGCTGTTCTGCAGCAGGAGGACCCCATTCTCTCCCTCAAACAAACCCTCACTCTCATTAACCATCTCTACTGATGCCATTCTCAAGATCAGGCACCAATACTCTTAACAATACCCATTCCAGTAAAAATAAAATCAGGGTAAACCTGAGCAGTAAGTCAGACCGTTAGATCAATGCTGGAAGAAAGCAAGCTGTTCATACCACTAACCGTTGTAAGACAGAACCAAGTTCTCTAAAGACACCCAGGAGCTCAGCAGGTTACTCAGAGTCCGACACGTCTCCCCAGTCAAAGGAATGGAGAACAATTCCAGAGTGGACACGCTTCGGAAGCGGTGAGCAGCTTTCAGAGAAAAGATCCCAGCAGGTCCTCCTCTTTTCTTACAGCCAGCATGGCCAGTGCATGGAGATCCTGGGGAGGAACCAGTCCAGTTCTCAGTGTTTTCTCCCTCTGTGGTGGTGTTTTTGTCGAGTAACCCTGAATTATCCTCTCTAGCGACAGTAAAAACAAAATCATACAGGTCTTCTGGGTCAGCATGTGGTCCCCTGCTTCGTCTGAGGCAGCGACGTTTCCTCCCCGCCGCAGATTTCAGCCGCCTGCGTGTCTTTCGAAGAACAGGGTGACAGGACAGCTGCTCTGAGATGCAACGAGGAGAAGACCCTCCCTGAATGCTGGTGTGGCCACAAGGCACCTTGCTGCTGGACTCCTCACACGCTTGGTTTTGCAGAGGACTTCTTGGTCCAGAGAGGACAGAGTTCAGGCAAGGGTTGGCCCTGCATCCGTTGGCCTCCGCACCATCCTCCTGCTGGGCCCTGGGGGAGCCCTTCTGGTCCTCACCATCGCTCCGCTCCCTCTTGTTGCAATGTCCCCTCTCCGATTGCTCTTGCGCTGACCCCTGGCTTTGGGCTTTGTCCTCCTCTCTGCAAAGGCCACACGGGCTGCTGTGATACGCCAGGGCGTTTCCCGAGCGCCAGAACCCAGCGCTCATGCTCAAAATGAGAACGAGCAGAACCGTGTCGGGAACAGGCCAGGAATACATGGACACTTGGCTGACGGAGCCGTGGTGAATCAGCCGGTGGAGAAGTAAAACCAGCGACCGCCTGATGGACTGGTCGGAGGAGAGGAGGTGCTGGAACTTCAGGATCCGCAGGGAGACAGCCAGGTTTTCGAGCACTTTCTGGTTGTGCTCGGCTGCCAGCTCCACCGCGCCCTGCAGCATGTTGCAGAGGGTGAGCTGGGACACGTGCGGGGAGCTGTGGAGCAGTGGGGAGAAGTGCCGGTCGTTGAGACGCCAGTCAGAGGAAACATCCAAGACGCCGTGAAGAACGTTTGAGAAGAACGTTTCAAGGAACTTCTTCCTCCAACAGGTTATATTCTGCAATTAAATTACCTTAGAGTCAAACAGGGTAAAAACTATTCAACAGGGCCGTGTTAACAAAAAGCCAGCCACAATTTTTTGCATACTTTTTAAGTTAAATTATTGCTAAGTTGGTACCAAAACCACCTACTGTTAGTGCAATTGAGATTCCCTTCCTAGATCTCAACATCCTTCCTCATTGTGTTTGTTGGAAAAAATTAGTTACTCTCATCGCTATCTCTTCATCCTGCTTTTGGCCTAATTAAAGCACATTCTGTGGTCTGAAGCTCAGCTACATTTTTGCCTATTACAAACCACATCATTAGGAGTTTTCTTCCCAAGTGTCTATTTATAGGCTGTGATTAAGTTGGCTGTTAACAAATTCTTTTGCGATGCTGAATCAATGCAGCTGCTCCAGTTTTCCCATGTAAAATCATTCTTCCAAACTCACTCTCTTAAGTATTTTTCTAGTGCTTTCTAAGACATCAGCAAGTTTTTTTTTGCCAGTGTAGGTGTAAGCATGATATAAGATTCTGTTTTTATCCTGTTTCCCTGTTACATCTCCAAAGAGAGCATTTCTCCTTTCGCCAACTCGCTGTTGTGAGATGAAGGGTGTGGCTGTACACTACGCTTCCTTCTGTGAGCCCCATTTCCCAAAAAGATTGTATAATCCCAGGGTCGTGCCTTGGTCCGGAGCTCTAGGAACGCTTATAACCAAGAGCCAGCAATGGCTCAGATGTGGCCGGCAGCACCGTCAGGCTTCAAAAGGAAACCTCGTGGAAGAAAGCTGGGGTTGTTCCCCCTTGTCCCGCCGGCAGCGTTTCCTCACCTCCGAGTTGGGCGGCCTGGTTTTCATCACGTCGTCCCACAGCTTGCGCCAGATGGGCTGCGTCGAGAGGCCTGGGGATGACAATTCATCAGCCAGGCGCTTTCCCCCCCTTCTCCCCATCCCGGAGCTCGCAGAGGTGTGAGGCAGACGAGGGGCAGCCCTTGTGGAGGGGGCAGGCCCAGACCCCTGCAGCAAAAGGGGGGTGCTTTGTGGCAAAGTGGGGGGACCACCGCCTTTTAAAGGACGGGAGATAAAAAATGGCAGGTTTTGTTGGTCCTTGAAAGGCGCAGAGTCACAGCAGGGTCCATGCCACTGTGTGAACCCTCTCTGGGTACGGGAGGTTTGGATGTTGGGGGGTGGCCAGGCCACCTCTGATGCTGGTGACTGCACTCCGGGGGGTGTCACTCCCTTAGAAGAGGGGTTCATCCCCTCCCATTTCTAGCCTGGAGGGAATTGACCCTCCCGTGTGGGTTCCTCTCTCTACCTGGGGGTCCCTCTGGTGTGGGGTCACCTCTCCAGGTCGGGGGTCCCCCCCCCGCAGTGTGTGTGGTGGTGGTGGGTGTTTGTCCACCCCAGTCAGTTTTGGGGGGCTCCTTCCTCCCACCCCCCTCCCAAGGCTTTGTCGCCGTCCCCGCGGGTGTCACCTGCTCTCCGCGCGGCGCCCTCGGCCCGTTCGAGTCGGAAGACGGTGAGAAGCGGCAGGAGCCCCCGCAGGAGGTGCCCAGGCAGCGCTGCGGAGAGCCAGAGGGAGAGGGCGGCAGGGTGCGGGCAGGCCCCGGGCCCCGCCGCCCCACCACCCCCCGCGCCGCCCCCGCCTTACCCCAGACGTCCCGCTCCAGGGCCCCCATGCTGCGGCTCACCGCCGCCGCGCTCAGCGCCAAGAGGCTGCCTGGACCCCCCTCCGCCGCCATCGCTATCGCCCCCGCCGCTCAGCGCCGCCGCGCCGCCGCCATCTTGGGGAAGGACAACCCCTTCTCCCGCCCGCGCGCCGCCGCCGCCATTTTGGGGGGAGCGGGCGGCCATATTGGGGAGGTCGCGTCGAGCGGGGCCGGCGGCGGCAGCCACGCTAAGCCGGCTGCAAGGACGGGATCCCCAAGGAAGAAAAGCAAAAAGAAAAACGAGAACAGCGCAGCTTTTTTTCCATCTTGAGGCGACGGCCGGCGCCGGCTGCCATGTTGGGAAGGGAACGCTGGGTGTAGTCCCAGCGCCGCAGCGGGCGCGCTTCCCGTTCCGGGGCGGGCAGCGGCACTTCCGGCGGGTGACCCTGGCGAGTCCTTCTGTGGGGCGGGAGCGGAGCCATGGGGCTGCGGGACACCGTCGTTCACGCCGGCGAGCCTGAGGTGAGCCGGGGGGGGACGGAGCCCCGCGGGCGAGCGGTCGGACCGTCGATCGGTCGGTAACGGCTGTGCTTTCTTTTCTTTTCCCCAGGAGGAGGAGGAAGAGCTGGTGGTAAGAGGCGGAGCGGGGACAGGGGACCTGGGCCTTCCCTACCCGGGGAGCTGGAGCCTGTGGCCTCGGCGGCGACTCGTTGCTCCCGGGGGAAGACACACGGGATCTATGGCTCTCTGTTAAAGCAAGGGCCGTGGGGGGAAAGAGGCGTTTTGGGGTATCCGTGTTCTTACAGTGGTCCCGTCCCTGCAGGATCCTTTAACCACCATCCGTGAGCACTGCGAGCAGTCGGAGAAATGCGCGAAGGCACGGGAGCGGCTGGAGCTGTGCGACGCCCGGGTGTCCTCCAGGTCCCAGACAGAAGAGCAGTGCACAGAGGAGCTTTTTGACTTCCTGCACGCCAGGGACCACTGTGTAAGTGCAGCACCCGTGGATGCAACGTCCCTGACGGTGCTGGGAGCGGAGCTGCCTTTAGCCGCGCTTCTGAGAGCACAGACAGTTCAAGTGTGAGGTGCTGTAGCTGTTCATTCACAGTGAGCTCTGAAGAACTGTGTGCCTTGGTGCTTTTTCATGTGAAATGTTTGGCTCCTCTTTGTTACAACAGTTCCGGGTGGGATTCAGTTGGTTATTAAACAATTATATAAGTCAAACACGCTGTTTCTGCCCTGCAAATGACAGTTTGCCTTTTCAATGTTATATTTGCCATTTTAAAGTTTAACCTTTTTCATCCGAGGTGAAGCTTTGTAAGAAATCTCAGCTTGTTGCAAAACAATGAGAAGAGGGGAGGGCTGTGGGGCCGTGTGTGTTACCCACCCAGAAAACCAAGAGGCGGGTGGTAACACAACCCTCGCCTAGGAGTTACCGAGTGCTTTTGTCTCTTTCCAGGTTGCTCACAAGCTCTTTAAGAGCCTGAAGTGAAGGCGGGCACGGTTGTCCATCTGCTTCCACAGCCAGTGGCGGCGGTTCCTGGATCCATGGTCCTGTTCATTCTCCATGACAAACGAAACGGCTTGCCGGCAGCGACCGAGCCTCAGCGTGTCACTGCCTCTCTCCTCACAGGAGATGCTCAGCAGCGCAGAAACCATGTTGATGTTCTGTAATTTTCCATATTAAACGTTCAAAGTTCCCATGGAAATACCCTCTGTTTGTCCCCTGAGTTCTTGTACTGGGTTAAGATGAGATTAGCGGGGGGTCAGAGCCCAGCTTGTGGGGGGAGGCTGTTCCTCACTTGTGGGAATGTCCCTTTTTATGTCCCTCTATCCCACAGGGAGGAAATTGTTTGCTGGAGCCACAAAGGTTATTTCCAAGCCCCATAAGACCAATATTGTTCACACAGGATATTTGGGGGGCAAACTGTGAAGCTGTCCCTCGCTGTCACCTTCTGCCACCAGCAGCTGGAAGAGCCTCCTGGCTGCAGTTGGCTTTGGGTTCTTGGCCAAAGTGACCAACCAGATGGGCACCGTGGTGGTGCCACCTCCTCAAACCCTGAGCAGAGCCTGAAGGACCACCTGGGGGAACCAAAACCTTTCTGTGTGAACCACCAGCCCCTTCTGCTGACCTGTGGACGGGTCAAGTTCACCCTCTGCCTGTTTTCCTTCCCAGGAGGATGTTTAACAGCAGGAAAAGGGATGTTTTATAGGGCAATTCTTCAAGGTGAAAAAACCATGTTTTTAATTCGGCTGTTCTTCATTGATAGAGCTGCCTCTCATCCTTTTGCTGGTGGATTTTGAGCTCAATCCTTAATGGATTGAAATGGAGGTTTATTAGGGTAAATGTAGCTTACGTAGCCTGTTAATATTCGGAGTTTTGGGGTTTGTTGTTTTTTTTTTTTGTAGCACAGGGTCTGTAAAGAAGGCTCCGGGCCGGGCTGCGAGCCCTTGTGCCGCCGCAGGGCCCCTTTTGTCGCCGGATCCTTTCCAGCAGCCGGTGCCTTCACCCGGTTCCTCATCCCCCGGCACCGGGGGGAGCCCGGACGGGGGTTGTCCCTTCGGGGGCGGTCCCGGTCCCGCCCCGGAAAGCGATGGCGGCGGCGATGGCGGCGTCGGGGATGATGCTGCTGCTGCTGCGGCGGGGGCGGCCGCCGCCACCGGGGCTGGGACCGGCACCGCGCCGGTACCGCTACAAGGAGAAGTGGGTGAGCGGGTCCTCGCCCAGGGGGCTTCTCTCCCCGCCCCTCCCGCACCCCCTTTTCCCCCCGTTACACCCCGTTTCTCCCCCCTCCTGCCTTATTTCGGTCGTTCCCCCGCTGTGACCCCTCCCTCTGTCGCCTCTTTCCCCCTTACCCCTCCATCGCACCCCCTTTCCTATCTCCCCTCTCCCCCATCCCACCTTCCTCATGCCTCCTCCTGTCCCCGTTCCACCCCTCGCTGCATCCTTTCTCCCTCCCCTTTTTTACCCCAGTTTACCTTCCCATTGCACCCCTCTAATCTCCTCTTTTCACCCCCTTGCACCCCCTCACCCACTGCACCCCCGTTATGCCTCTCCGTACCCAGCCGTTCCCCTCCTCCCGTCCCCACCCCGTGCCCCCAGCCCCATTCAGCCATTCCCTGTCCTGAACAACCCCCCAGGAGACCACCATCCCCTGGGTGTCGGGGCCACGGTCATTTTCTGGGGCTGCAGAAAGGCCCCGGGGGCTTTAGGCAGCGCAGAACCTGGTGTTGAGTTCTCCCCGAAAGAAAACCTTGAGGCTGGGGAAGAGGAGGGTGGGATGTCAAGGTATTTTATCTTTTAACATTTCTGGTATATTTTTTTTTCCCCCAAAAAGGCTGCCACGGCCCCCCGCATCCCGCCCACGCGGCTGGCCCTGCACCACTTCGACGTGAACTACAGCCTGCAGCTGAAGGACCAGTGGCCCTCGGTCCGTGCTGGCCTCCTCTGCGAGCAGAAGTATGGTGCTCTCCTCAACAACTTCTCTGCTGCCCACCATGTCGCCCAAGAGCTGGAGCTGCTCAATGCCACCAATTTTGTTTCCGAAGCCCCCAAAAAGGCGGAAAGCGTGTCCCAGGAGGGGTCCGGCGAGGGCAGGATGGTCACGCAGGCAGAGATGATGACGCAGGCAGAGATGTCACCACCACTTCGTGCCTCCATCACCTCCAACATCAAGTGCTACACCTTCCCCAGGGGCGACATCACGCGCTTTCGCCCGGCACGGTGAGACATCCCTGGGACGAGACCACCTGCTGTCACTGCCACCCTCTCGGGGGCTGCACGTGGGTCAGCACACGCTGCTTCTCCACGTCCCCGTCCTCACCTCCAACTTGCTCTTCTCTTTTCCCCTCACACGTCTGCTTTTTTTTGTTTTTTTACTCAAACTGGTGGTTTCCAGGCCGGACGCAACTTGCTCTTCTCTTTTCCCCTCACACGTTTGCTTTTTTGTTTGTTTGTTTTTTTACACAAACTGGTGGTTTCCAGGCCGGACACCGTGGGTCTCCTTGACTATTATCTCATGGATGCAGCATCTCTCCTGCCCGTCCTGGCGCTTGACGTGCAGCCGGATGACTTTGTCCTCGACCTCTGTGCGGCTCCGGGTGGCAAGACTCTGGCTCTGCTGCAGACTGGGCTTTGTGGTGAGTGATGGTGGGTGTTCCTTGTCCCCGTGTGTAAAGCAGGGCTGGGAGTGTGTTTTACACGTTAACTGGCCCATTAATCATAGAATCATAGAATGGTTTGGGTTGGAAGGGACCTCAAAGATCATCGAGTTCCAACCCCCCTGCCATGGGCAGGGACACCTCCCACTAGAGCAGGTTGCTCAAGGCCCCATCCAGCCTGGCCTTGAACACTTCCAGGGATGGGGCATCCACAACTTCCCTGGGCAACCTGTTCCAGTGTCTCACCACCCTCATAGTAAAAAATTTCTTCCTGATATCTAATCTGAATCTTTTTTCTTCCAATTTAAAACCGTTTCCCCTTGTCCTATCATTGTCTGACCATTAATTGTCTCTGGTTGTAAGAGTTGGGAATCAGGTGTGGCTTTGCAAGAGTGACGTTCCCCGCGTGCCTTTTTTGTCCTCTCAGGGCATTTGGCAGCCAACGACGTCTCCATCTCCCGGACAAAGAGGCTGTACCAGATTCTCCAAAGCTACGTCCCCAGGGAAGTCAGGGAAAACGTGAGCGTCACGTCCCATGATGGACGGGACTGGGGGCAGCTGGAAGGTGGCACTTTCCACAAGGTAGGTGATGGGGAACCGGTGTAGATAAACCCGTCTAGTTGAGTTTCCTCCTGTTTCAGAGGTGTAAGAGTTGGGAATCAGGTGTGGCTTTGCCAGAGTGATGTTCCCCACGTGCCTTTTTCATCCTCTCAGGGCATCTGGCAGCCAACGACGTCTCCATCTCCCGGACAAAGAGGCTGTACCAGATTCTCCAAAGCTACGTCCCCAGGGAAGTCAGGGAAAACGTGAGCGTCACGTCCCATGATGGACGGGACTGGGGGCAGCTGGAAGGTGGCACTTTCCACAAGGTAGGTGATGGGGAACCGGTGTAGATAAACCCGTCTAGTTGAGTTTCCTCCTGTTTCAGAGGAAGACAGCAGCTTATCCTGCAGTATAATTATGTAGTTTTCCACATATGGAGCAGTATTTCCTCCTGCAGGATCTGGTGCACGTGGGCATCTGCAGTCGTACCGGTATTTACCTGTGTAATACCCTTTAAAAATCCTGCTCTAATCCATCACCTGGAAGGGGTTAAATGTAAGAGGAGGTGTCACTGCAGGTTCTGCAGTAACGCCTGCCAGGGAGGTGCATGGTGTAGAAATGTTAAATGAGGACACATGTGAGAGCGTGATGTTATCTGCTGTTTCTGTGGCTGTTTACACATTCCTGAAATGCAAAGCAGCCAGGCAAGTTGGGGTTTGGTGTGGGTGCACACCTGCACTCCGTCACCATCACCCAGGGAGGGCACCGGGAGCTGCTGGGTGCGTGGGGAGGGTGGAGGAGTTGGGCAAGGGGCAGGTCGTGCTGGGAGACTCCCTGAGCTTGGCTTGGGCCCAGGGTTGATGCAAGACCTCTGCTGCCACAGGTCCTGGTGGATGTGCCCTGCACGACGGACAGGCACTCTGTCATGGAGCAGGACAACAACATCTTCCACAAGAAAAGGACCAAGGAGCGTCAGATGTTGCCCATGCTGCAGCTGCAGCTGCTGATGTGAGTGAGCTCGATGCTGTTTCGGTGCTATTTTGGGTTATGGTTGCAGCTCTCTGTGGCCTGGACTGAAACCTCCGCTTACTTTCTGTCCCCAGCTGGGAAATGTGGCAACCATGGGTAGTTTTCTGCAATGGCAGAAGCTGAACACATCAAATCTTAATAAGAAGGTGCAAAAGTTCTCGGTCAGAGTAAATGTCCTTCCTGTCTCCAGCAGTAGCCATAGGAGGTAGGGAGGGTTCCCTGAGGAACAGGATAGCGTTGTGAAGATCATGTAGTGTGATGATCTCCTGGGTCTCAGCAGTCAGCCTGGGGAGATTCATGAGTGTCCACATCATGGGAGGACACAGAATCGTAGAATTGTCTAGGTTGGAAGGGACCTTTAAGATCATCTAGTCCAACCGTCACCCTAATTCTGATTAAAAAAAAAAAGACATGACTAAACCATGTCACTAAGTGCTCTGTCAGCCCGTCTTTTGAATATCTCCAGGGATGGTGCCTCAACCACTTCCCTGGGCAGCTCATTAGATAAACCCGTCTAGTTGAGTTTCCTCCTGTTTCAGAGGAAGACAGCAGCTTATCCTGCAGTATAATTATGTAGTTTTCCACATATGGAGCAGTATTTCCTCCTGCAGGATCTGGTGCACGTGGGCATCTGCAGTCGTACCGGTATTTACCTGTGTAATACCCTTTAAAAATCCTGCTCTAATCCATCACCTGGAAGGGGTTAAATGTAAGGGGAGGTGCATGGTGTAGAAATGTTAAATGAGGACATGTGTGAGAGCGTGATGTTATCTGCCTCTGTGGCTGTTTACACATTCCTGAAACACAAAGCAGCCAGGGGAGTTGGGGTTTGGTGTGGGTGCACACCTGCGCTCCGTCACTATCACCCAGGGAGGGCACCAGGAGCTGCTGGGTGTGTGGGGAGGGCGGAGGAGTGAGTTGGGCAAGGGGCAGGTTGTGCTGGGAGACTCCCTGAGCTTGGCTTGGGCCCAGGTTTGATGCAAGACCTCTGCTGCTGCAGGTCCTGGTGGATGTGCCCTGCACGACGGACAGGCACTCTGTCATGGAGCAGGACAACAACATCTTCCACAAGAGAAGGACCAAGGAGCGTCAGATGTTGCCCATGCTGCAGCTGCAGCTGCTGGTGTGAGTGAGCTCGATGCTGTTTCGGTGCTATTTTGGGTTATGGTTGCAGCTCTTTGTGGCCAGGACTGAAACCTCCGCTTACTTTGTGTCCCCAGCTGGGAAATGTGGCAACCACGGGTAGTTTTCTGCAATGGCAGAAGTTGAACACATCATATCTTAATAAGAAGGTGCAAAAGTTCTCGGTCAGAGTAAATGTCCTTCCTGTCTCCAGCAGTAGCCATAGGAGGTAGGGAGGGTTCCCTGAGGAACAGGATAGCGTTGTGAAGATCATGTAGTGTGATGATCTCCTGGGTCTCAGCAGTCAGCCTGGGGAGATTCATGAGTGTCCACATCATGGGAGGACACAGAATCGTAGAATTGTCTAGGTTGGAAGGGACCTTTAAGATCATCTAGTCCAACCGTCACCCTAATTCTGATTAAAAAAAAAAAGACATGACTAAACCATGTCACTAAGTGCTCTGTCAGCCCGTCTTTTGAATATCTCCAGGGATGGTGCCTCAACCACTTCCCTGGGCAGCTCATTCTAAGGCTTAATAACCCTTTCAGTGTGAAAATTTTTCCTGATATCCAACCTGAACCTCCCCTGGTGCAACTTGAGGCCATTTCCTCTGGTCCTGGCACCTGGGACTGGGAGCTGGGGCAATAAGGGAACAGCTTAGGTAGACCCGTGGCAGAGCTTGAGCTGTGAGAGCCTCTTCCCCTGTGCAAACTCTTGTCCCACTCCCTTGGAGGTGGGTGCAGGATTACTCCTTCCAGCTGCTCTCCAGTAGCGTCTCTCCCACGTGAACTACTTTATCAATCTAAGCATCTATTTGACCCATATTTCCCTGGTTTAAAAAGTTACTCAAGTTGCAGTGACACAGTTAGCCTGTGGAGTTCAAGGAGGTTTGTCCCTCGCCTCCTGTGAGTTACGTGCTGGCTTCCCAGTTTGGGTGGGTGGGAATGTTGGTGTCCCACCCAGTCCTCTTCTTGCCGTGACAGTGTGTGTGTTCATCTTGGCTGCAGGGCTGGGATCCTGGCCACCAGGCCGGGAGGAGAGGTGGTGTATTCTACGTGCTCCATCTCCCCACTGCAGAACGAGTACGTGATCGAGAGAGCGGTAGAAGTCGCAGAAGCCCAGTATGACATCAGGGTCCACATTGAGGACTTGAGCCATTTCAGGACGCTCTTCCAGGACACGTTTTCCTTCTTCTCGGATTGCCGGCTGGGGGAGCTTGTTCTGCCTCACCTCACAGCCAACTTTGGACCTATGTACTTCTGCAAATTGCGTCGGATGTAGACGGGGTGACAGACTATACCTGTGGGTATACCCAAATTTCCAGGGGAAGCAAAACCGCTTCATATTTATTTTTCTTTTTTAAAATGACCCAAAGGAGGTTGCTTTTTTTTACTGCAGAGATAGAGAATAAATGAGAAAGACTTGCTGTGGAATCTCCTGCATATTTATGTGTTTGAGACTGAGGTCTTTAATCTAGGAAAGAGAAAGAGATCTTACCAGAGGGAGTGATTTATCCATCTGTCTTGGGATGGGGTAAATGGCCCTGTGCGGACGCTGCTGTCTCCCCCCTGTCTGACTGCTTTGATCCTACACGAGCAGGTTGGGGTTAATAAACACCATCTGGGGATCTCAGCCTTCCTGTCCCAGATCTCACCATCTGGGTAATTGAGTTGCATCTGTCTCTGCTTATCTCCTACCTTCAGGAAAAGTGGCCTGAGGTCCCAAAATAAGAGGTTCTTAAGAATGGCCCCTGTTGTGAGGTTGGAAATGTGCTTGGGATGCTCGAGATCTGGTGGTGAAAAGAGCTTGTTGCTGTGGAAATGCCAGTGGCTGTTGCTGTCCCTCACAGACAGGAAAGCTGTGGTTGAGAGTGAAGGTGTGAACGCTCCCGTGCTAGATGCCATTTATTGTCCAGTGGGAAGGTGTTTGCATGATTTTGAGTAATAACTCTGCATTCATACAATCCTAGCCATCAGTGAAGGATTACCAGAGTTTATGATGAGAGTTGCTTAGTAGCTACATTTTTATTTTTGTGAGCAAAGTACAATGATGGGGAGGGTAGACTTGGTTGTGTTCCTTACAGGGCAGCCCATAGTTACATCCCTGTGAAGTTACTCCAGTGCCAGGAAGAAAATACTACTGAGGTTTTGTAGTCCTTTTCTCTCAGGAGAAGCAGCACAGATGAAGAAGAGGGTGAACCCCATCCATGTCCATCCCTCCAGGATGGTGCAGTTCATAGATTTATTGTCATCTGAACCCAGCTTAAGCTAGTCCTGCCCTCTGCGTGGCATCCTGATTACTGGCAAGGAGTGTGGTCAGGAAATGGCTTTTCCTTCCTCCTTCCCTCCTCGCTCTGATCTTTGCACTTCTGGTTGCAAAGGAGAAGTCGTGCAGCACCATCCCTTCTGCCTCTGGCCCTGCCGGTGTGGGACCGAGGAGGCTATGCCGCTTTCTTCTTGCGGCTGAGGGTCTCCACCTCCTTCATGAACCGGAGACACAGCTCCTCCTGCCACGGCAAGGCCACGCACTGCACGGCCACGGGCAGCCCCACGGCTCCTGCCACAGCCTGCAGCGGGGGCACAAATGGTGAGGAGTTACAGGGGAAGCTTGGACCTCCCATGGCTTTTGGCAACTTGGTGTAGGCACGTTGCTCATCCTGGAGAGTTGGGGAGGTTGGAGGCTGAGCCCTGCCATTCCAGCAGCATTAGTGTGCTGGGGCAGAGGCTCTTGAAGCCCTCCTTGAAAAAATGGTTGCTAAGTCTTGGGCAGCATGTTTACGACATCTCCCCACACACTCCCTGGTCATCTCTGTCCTGCAGTCAACTCCCTTTTCCTTCAGCATCCTCACTCCGCATCCATGCTCCGCTGACAGCCTGGGCCTGGTGAAGGCAACACGGAGCAGGAGGGAAGTGCAGTGCAGTGCAATGCTGTGGGCTGTGGCTGTCACAAGGACCTACTCAAAAGATGCCTTGCTGCATGGCTCCTTTCTGGTTTCAGCCTACAATCCATCCTGGGGGTGCTACCCTGGATCCCCAAAGCTTAGTCACCATTTTGGGGCTTGGGAGAAAAAGGATTTGCAAAGGGTATATATAAAGAAGAGGTGATTTTCTTTGCAGTGTGCCCATGGTGATGGAGACATTTAGCAAAACTATTTCATTTCAGTGAAACTATTACTTGAACATCCATCAGCAGTCTCAGCTCCACCACTTCCCATGTCACGTACCTGTTTCAGCGTCCGGTCCCAGCGGTCATCACAGTATCCTTGGTAAAGCTTCAGCTCTTCCTCATCAGCCTCTGTCACCGTACTGACAGGTACAACCCCAGCGGGGAAGTTCAGGACATTGTAGAGCATCGTGGAGGAGATGGCAGCTGAGAAAAGTAGAAGAGAGAATGCAGGTAGTGACACCCACCTGCAAACTTACACATGATGTGTCCACTGAAGCCCCTGAGAACCAGCTGCTGCTGGGAGGAGAGATTGCACAGGGTTGGTCATCTGCAGGTCCAAGTTCTACTGCAAGAAACAACTGACACCAGATCACTTCATCCATGTGTCTGTCTCCATCTCCTCAGATAGCTTTATGGTAGTCATTTTTCCTTACTAATGCTTATAAAATACTTTGGTGGGTGGTGAAGCTCCGTGGTTGCAGACATTTCTGTCCGTCTCAGCCACTGCGATCTTCTGCCCTCCCAGGAAGGTCCCAGACTCACTTACTGAGGAGTTTCCCAGGGTATCCTGTGGTGAAGGCAGGCCCCAGGACAGGGCACAGCACAACGTCCAGCTGGAGTTCCCTCCACCGGGCAATGAACTCGGTGCGGTACACCTAGGGGAGGAGAGGGGAGATGACATGGAGGCCATGTCCATGCCTGGAGCATCATCACTTCTCCAGGGTATGCACCAGGGTCTGGCATGACCAAGGAGGCAACAGAAGGTGGCTGTGCTTGAGGGAAGAGGGAGGGAAGTGTGTGTTTGCCTCCACAGCACATGGCCAGACTGGCTGAGAAATGGTCCCTCTTTAGCTGTCTCTACCCCAGGACAGCCTTCATGGTGCTGGGACCATCAAGTATGGCCATTTGGGCACGAACACTGTGGGCAACCCAGCTGGCTGGGTTGACAAAAAAGCCTATCTGCCCCATTCTTTGCTCTCTTTGGTGCTTTTTCCTCCACCTTCTCTCCTCCCCAGCATCCCTCTGTGTGATCCCTTTCCTAACTGATGACCCTCCAACCTGGCATTTGCCATAAAACCTCAACTCAAACATGATGTTGGAGAGAAGAGTCCTCAAAACCTCAAAACAAGTCATCCACCCGCCTGGATGCAGTCCTGAGTAATGTGATCTAGGTGTTCCTGCGTTGGCGGGGGAGTTGGACCAGATGATCTCTAAAGGTCCCTTCCAACTCTGACAATTCCGTGATTCCATGAAAACATACCTGTATTTCATGTTGATGATTCCACATCTCCTTCACTGACCTGCAAGTGGAAAGCGTAGCAACATTTCTAAGCTTCAAGAGGAAGAGGAATTGCTTAAATAATCCTCCAGGTTGATAAGCCCCAGTGATTTTAGCAATTATTTAGAACAATACACCTTTCCCAATTCTCTAAAGCTTCCTTTGGTGTTTGGCCAAGCAATTAAGCAACAAACGTCTGGAAGTGGTAGAGAGAAGGTTTCTCTTGTGAGTCTGAGCACTTATCTCTGCCACAGGTTTCCTGAATGACTTTATCCATCCAAGTCCCTCAGTGCTTTCAGGATAACACCAGGGGCACTGCAGCACTGGGGAGATGTGTTCCTAAAAGCTGAACCCACGTCCAGGATAGCCAGGACAGACCCTGCAGACAGCAGGTCAGAGCCTGTCCTGAATCCCTTCCCCCTCACCCCACCCTGGAGACTTAGAGAAGGTGCCGTTCATTTTTATAGACATCCCTGGGGATGGTACCACCATACCTCATTCCAGCCAAGGCGCTCAGGTAGTCAGCCAGGCGGGGAAACTGGAAAGGCAAGAGGTTCCTGTGAGGGACACGACATGGGGGTGCGGTAACTTGTGCCATCCCAGGAAAGCCCCCGTCCTGTCCTGCCTCTGTTCCTGGGGACGCTGCACTGAGGGTGAACGATGGTGATTAAAAATGGTCCTCATGGTTCTGCATTTACTTGGCTTCCAGCTTCTGGTTGTTGATTTCCGATTTATTTCTTACAGCCCCATATTTACTGCTCACAGAGGAATGCACTGGCCTTAATCTTTTATCATTTTTGATAAATGAAACATTTTTTTTTAGCTTGGTACCTCACAGAAACAAGACCTCTGCAAGCACTTTGCCCCCACTCACTGCTACCTTTCTGACCCTGTCAGCTGAGAACACCCCAACTGGAGAGAGAGGCAGAAAAAATGGAGGATGGAGGAGAGAAGCCCTATGAAAGGATGCTCCACTGGTGAAAGGGCTACAGTGAGGGCCAGCCCTTATTAATCGCCAGGAGTCCCCATGAAGGGTAATCTTTGGGAGGCCTCCAACAGGGAGGACCTTCAACCTTCAGTTCCACCATTGCTGTAATCCCAATGCATGAATCTGTAGCAAACTGGGCACTGCTAGATCTAGAATTTGAAGAACTACTTGCTGTGGGCTCTGCATTAATCTTTTACAGCTCTTGGCTGGTCCTTCTCTCATTTCCCTTTGCGCTGGATAAATCCCAGCAGGGGTCTATAAAAGACCTTCCAAAGTGATAGCGTGTGCCTTGACCTGAAATCCCAGTGTTTCCAGTTAAAGTAGTATTTCAGTACCATCACGCTTTCAAGCATCTCAAGGCCTTGCCGATTCCACATTTGAGCCTGAGGCCAAGGACTCACCAGAGGTTTCAGAATCAGAGACAGCAGCTTCTTCCCCAGCCTTGGGATCTTGCAGTCATTCACCTGTGATTTCAAGCTTGGATCTACAATATCTCCTGTGCTGAGAGATGATGAAAGGAGAGGATCAGGCTAGAGAAGCTGTTGGCCCTTTCTCAGAAACCTGAGTATCTCCCATTTGGGGTGGGAGAGATGGGCCCGTTTTGCCCACGCGTTGAGCTCAGGGGCATGGGGATGGAGGTGTTCTACAGCACTGCAGCCTACTTACAACACGTCCAACCAAGCACGGCCTCCATCAGCAAAAAAAGTCTTCAGAAACAGTTCAGTCATGACATAGTGGATCCGAGGTGGAGAAAAGGGCACCAGCTGCACCAAAACACAAGATTACGTGGCCTCCAACACGGAGGACCTTCAACCTTCAGTCCCACCGTTGCTGCAATGCCAATGCATGAATCTGTAGCAAACTGGGCACTGCTAGATCAAGCATCTGAAGAGCTACTTGCTGTGGGCTCTGCATTAATCTTTTACAGCTCTCGGCTGGTCCTTCTCTCATTTCCCTTTGTGCTGGATAAATCCCAGCAGGGGTCTTTAAAAGACCTTCCAAAGTGATAGCGTGTGCCTTGACCTGAAATCCCAGTGTTTCCAGTTAAAGTAGTATTTCAGTACCATCACGCTTTCAAGCATCTCAAGGCCTTGCCGATTCCACATTTGAGCCTGAGGCCAAGGACTCACCAGAGGTTTCAGAATCAGAGACAGCAGCTTCTTCCCCAGCCTTGGGATCTTGCAGTCATTCACCTGTGAATGCAAGCTTGGATCTACAATATCTCCTGTGCTGAGAGATGATGAAAGGAGAGGATCAGGCTAGAGAAGCTGTTGGCCCTTTCTCAGAAACCTGAGTATCTCCCATTTGGGGTGGGAGAGATGGGCCCGTTTTGCCCACGCGTTGAGCTCAGGGGCATGGGGATGGAGGTGTTCTACAGCACCGCAGCCTACTTACAACACGTCCAACCAAGCACGGCCTCCATCAGCAAAAAAAGTCTTCAGAAACAGTTCAGTCATGACATAGTGGATCCGAGGTGGAGAAAAGGGCACCAGCTGCACCAAAACACAAGATTACGTGGCAGCCTGGGGGTGTGAGTAATTTCCAACTGTGGATATTCTTCAAAGGTAGAGCAGCACCTCCCTGGGCTCCACACGCTGACAGAGGACCCAGTTCAACCCTTTACCAGCCCACGCATCTTCCTGTAGGATTATTCCTCCCTAACGGTTGTTTGGCTCAGCTCTGAGATCTCTCCAGAGCTGTTTCCATCCTGCTCCAGGCAGTCACTGAGCCAGAACCTGCACCATTTTCCTGCCTGTCCCAGCAGAATTGACATCTCTCACACGTGGACCCACTTGCGTGTTTCCACAGGTAGGTCTAGATGGAGGGAAAGGTATTTCCCATCCCGTGCCCCATGGCCTTTTCCTCTCAGTGGTCCAGGAAGGAGAGAAGTCTCCATGGAGGAGAGACAAAAACACCTCTCAGAGCCCTTCTGGGGTAGGACAGACCTAGAAAATGCTGGGGCAACCTTCCAGGGTCAATCATACGACTTTATGGCTCCTGCTGTCTGGTGCGCACCACAGCCACCAGGAGCGCAGAGATGGATTCGTTACGCCCCTGGCAGAGACAATTTTGCTAATTGCTAGTGCTGTGTCCCCACGAGAGACACTGCTGCCCCAGGTTGGTGTGTGTCTGTGCTGCGTTATGTGGCTGTAGTAACTGAATCTCATACCTCTGGTGGGTCTTGGGGACTACATCTGATTTCTGGAAGGTGATTTTGGCAGTGAGGAGCCGAGCTGGGGACACCTTGTGAAGGAAGAGGGTGGGCTGGTTGTGCTCACCTGGTGTCCAGCTGCCTGCAGAGCCCCCCTGGTTTCCTGCAGTGCTCGCCGCATGCAGGGGGGCAGGGGGAAGTAGCCGTCCGTGTCGTAGTACCCGACCCGCAGAGGAGCAGAGCTGGAGTACACCTGGAGCAAAGAGCCACCGCTCAAGCATTTCCAACCCTGCTGGGGGTGGGAGTGCCACCTCTACTGAAGCCCGCTGCAGAAGGGGATGAAAGCTCCAGAAGTTAGGGAGTGACTAATTTTCTTATGGTTTCCATAGGTTACCCTTTCCATATGTCCACCCCTGCCTTTTTCTCCAGCCTCCCCTTCGTCCCTCCCTCCAGAGAGAGCACAGCCACTCAAGACCAGCAGATTCAACTAATGCTACGTAGGAAAAAACCTCCTGAAGTTTGTCTGCTGCAGAGGGAAAGGAAATGTCCTCGGCCAAGAGATTTGCTGCAGGTGTTCCTGATTTTATCTCATCTTCCCCTAAAAATCCCCAGCTTTTTGCTCCCGGTGTTGCCTTCCTCCCCACTCTTTTCTGAGGTGTCTCAATCTGATAAGCTACATGCCAACGGAGATGGCAGACAGGATAACTGCTTGTTAGTTACTCATTAATACTACCTTTTTTTTTTTTAATAATTATAAATTATGCCCTCAAAGAGAGCTAACAAGTTACTGGAAATGAGTACTGTAAAGATAACTGGACCCTTAAAGAATGCATACATTGAGCGTGCAGCACCCCCAAAAGAACCAGGGGTTGCTGACTTAAGGACCCACCTCCTCATTGAAGGGGATGGGGGGCACGGTGGGGTCCAGCCGGAACATCTCCTGGCAGAGCAGAGCCTTCATGCAGAGGGCCAGGCTGTCCACATCCCTCGCCATCGGCCCCAGCGCACAAGGAACTGGAGTGGGATGAGAGCACGTGTCCACGTTAACCAAATGGGTGTGACAAACACTAGTCCACCCCTTTGCACAGCCACATCGTCTGCAAGGGTTGATCAGGCAACAAGGTGGGATGTTTCAGATGGACTCCTGACAGATCTTGGTTGTCTCAGGCTTGTCTCAGGCTTTTCTCAGGCCTAGAGGAGGACATAGGACTCTTTACAGCATATAGAGATAAGCAATTAAAAATTAGAAATGTACCTGCCAGGATCCCATTGAGTGGACCACTCGCTCCAGACAGGCTGTGGGAAAAGAAAAAGAAGTATATTGTCATTTCAGTAACAGTGAGACATTCCCAACGTGTTTGAATAGCACAGAGAGGTCTTCCATTCGGGATCCAAACCAGAAGAAAATTATTAAAAGTATTTGATTTGAGTCATGTGAAACAGAAAATTTTGCTTAAAATGAAAAAAACCTAAACCCCAACAAATCCTAGTTTTGGTTTAACCAAAAATGTTCCATTTGGGCATTATTTAACCACTTTTTCCCCCTTTCCCTTTTAACTCCGGGCCAGATCTACAACGAGAACATGGCCATCTCCCTCACAAAACCTAAAAGTGCTGCCTCTTGGGAGCAGTTTTGGGCAGAGCAAGCTGGCCTTTAAGAAACAGTCCTCTCTTGGCCCCCCAGGAAAAGAGTACCTTGCCCCTTCTGCTGAGCTTGACAATTAGCAGGCTCCTTGCCGGGTGGGCAGGGCAGACCCCAGCACCTACCTGAGCCTTTCGGCGGTGGGTTTGAGCCCACAGAGCCCGCAGAAGCTGGAGGGCAGGCGGATGCTGCCACCGATGTCTGAGCCGATGCCCAGGATGGAGCCTCCTCCTGCGATCAGAGCTCCCTCCCCTCCCGAGGAGCCCCCGGGGCTCTTCTGGTGGTTGAAGGGGTTCAAGGTCTGGCCGAAGATGGGATTGCTGCAGTCGTAGCTGGGGAGAAGAAAAACAGCGAGCGGGCTGTCAGAAACAGCCTAATGCCTTGAGTTTTTGGCTTTCCCTTGCAGCAAGGAATAGCCAACTCCATCCTTCCATCCCATAAATCCCTTGGGACACGGCTCATTCCCATGAGCCTCTGATCTCCCTCACATGCACAAGTGCACTTGGTTTCTCTTATGTCTCCATAGGTTTGTTTTTTTGCTCCTTATCTGAAATTTTTTTCAGTTGACCTGAGATTGTTAGCAGCAGATGGAAGAGGGAATCACCCAGGAAACATCTCAGGAGATGGGAAGGAGCCTATTCCAGGACCTACAGGTTGAGTTTTAGCTTCAGGGGCACAACCAGAGGAAAGATTTCTAATGATGTATGTTACCTGAAGAGGGATTGCGGCACGTTGGTCATTGCAAAGGGGATGGCCCCCTGTTTCTTCAAAACTTTGACGAGGACACTGTCCTCCTGCGCCACAGTGCCCAGGCATTGCACAAGCCCACAGGTCAACAGATGCCCCTGCAGAGAGGAGAAGTGGCAAGGGACACAGTGCAGTTCCCCTCCAGTTTTCGGAAAGATGGTTTGGTGTTCCCTTTGGTGGTGGTGGTGAGGTACTAACCCACTCGCTTGCAAGCCCTTGCATGAAGGGCCAAGGTCTCCCTCTTCCTCCATCCTTGGCAGAGAGCTGCCAAGTACTTACAGGGGTAAGGCTTCTTCTGAAGCTGGCCTTGCTCGTTTCCATGTATTTCTCTTCCCTGACCCAGATGCAGCTCCATAGGTGCACCAGCTCAGGATCAAACCCAGTGTCCTGCTTCCAAGTGAAGCCACCACTTCCCAGGGAGGGAATATACATCCCAGGCAAACACAGTGTGAACCTTTAGCTGTTAGTCTTGGTGCCTGGGGCTTGCTCTGGGCTTAGAGCTCTCTTAACTGTCTTGTTAAGTCAACATGGAGGAGACTGCCTAATAAATTCAGCTCAGGGGTGTGTGGTCAGTCCTCATCAGGGCTGGTCTAAGAGGGGGTCCATGGCTTTTTGCTGAGGGGCTCAGTGACCAGGCTACAGCACAAAAGGGATTTGAGGTTAACCGTTCCTGCTGCTAATGACTTTCTAGAAGCTGAGCTATGTTCTTATCCCTGATAATGCAAACCTCTGAGTAGAAGTCTGAGTTATCACCCAAACAACTACGTAGCCCAGCCTGTGCTGTCTCATGTATCAGTGAAGAAATCGTTTGGGTGTATAACTATTCACCCCTTGTTGGTTTTTTTTGCTGATGGGTCATTCTAACTGCCAGGGTTGCAGCTGCAATGAGATGCAGGGACCCAGCCAGGCTTCCCGTGGGGTAAGCAGGTAGGGATCGAGCCCCTTCCCCAATCTCTGTGTCCCACCGCTTCACCACCCAGCCCAGCTCATGATGGGACAATTCATGGGGACAAGGGGAAGCACCTTGTGGCCGATGTGATCCTTGATGCTGATGGGAATGCCATAGAGCAGACCTTTCTCCTCCTGCCGTTGTATTTCCTGAAGCTGCTCTTCACACTCTGGGATAAAATGTCGCAAGCAGTTTGTCTGCTGGGTGACTTCCAGGGCCTTTGTTGGGCACATGGAGGAACAGGTGTTAGTTAAGACTAGCATCGTTACACAGCTGCATAAAGTAGCTACCTGGATCTTCATACCAAGGGCTAGTGGCTTGGCATGGGTGGTAACCCCCTCCCCAGAGCATCCCAGCTCAAGTCATCTGAAAGGGTTGTCCAGTCATGGGTCCAGCCCAGGAGACTCTATTGGGTTTTCATGGCAAGGTTTTGGTAGCTGGGGGGGCTGCAGGGTTGGCTTCTGTGAGAAGCTGTTAGAAGCTTCCCCCATGTCCAATAAACCAGTGCCAGCTGGCTCTGAGATGGACCAGCCGCTGGCCAAGGCCGAGCCCATGCAGGACAATGGTAATGCCTCTGGAGTCCTGTGAGAAGGACTCATGTTGGAGAAGTTTGTGGAGGACTGTCTCCTGTGGACTCCACGCTGGAGCAGGGGAAGTGTCAGGAGTCCTCTCCCTGAGGAGGAAGGAGTGGCAGAAACAACATGGGATGAACTGACTGCAGCCCCCCTTCCCCATTCCCCCACTCCCCTGTGGCGCTGGTGGGAGGAGGTAGAGAAATTAGGAATAAAGTAAAGCCCCAGAGGAAGGGAGGGGTGGGGGAAAGGTGTTTTAAGATTTGTTTCCATTTCTCATTATCCTACTCTGGTATGATTGGTAATAAATTCAACTAATTTCCCCAAGTTGAGTCTGTTTTGCCTGCGATAGCAATTGGTGAACGATCTCTCCCTGTCCTTATCTCGACCCATGAGCATTCCATTATATTTTCCCTCCTCTGTCCAGCTTTGATGGGCACCCGGCATCCAGGCAGGGTCAACCCACCGCAGAGACAGAGATATCCCTGCCTATTCACATCTTTCTGCTATATTAAAGACTTGTCTTAATCACCAGCTTCAACAAGCCTTCTCAGCCACGAGCCCACACACCATGGCATGGAGAACATCAGTGATTTGTCCATCACACTGCGGACAGGCACTCACCTTCTCTAAGTAGGTGTAGAGGACAGTCTTGGGGGACAGAGACCCTTCCCGCAGTCTCCCAGTGAGTTCCAGCAGGGGCAGGGACAGGATGGCATCTGTCTGGACGCTGGGGACCTGCAAGGGGAAGATGAATGGCATGCCAGGACAGCAGCTCCAGCTACCCTTTGGCTCCGTGGGAGTAAATCTCTTATGTTTTGGCAACGTTATCAACAAAGCTTGCTGGAAAGACAGACTGTGCATGTGGGGGCTAGACCTTGGGCTGTTGAGTCAGGTGTTAGTTAAGACTAGCATCGTTACACAGCTGCATAAAGTAGCTACCTGGATCTTCATACCAAGGGCTAGTGGCTTGGCATGGGTGGTAACCCCCTCCCCAGAGCATCCCAGCTCAAGTCATCTGAAAGGGTTGTCCAGTCATGGGTCCAGCCCAGGAGACTCTATTGGGTTTTCATGGCAAGGTTTTGGTAGCTGGGGGGGCTGCAGGGTTGGCTTCTGTGAGAAGCTGTTAGAAGCTTCCCCCATGTCCAATAAACCAGTGCCAGCTGGCTCTGAGATGGACCAGCCGCTGGCCAAGGCCGAGCCCATGCAGGACAATGGTAATGCCTCTGGAGTCCTGTGAGAAGGACTCATGTTGGAGAAGTTTGTGGAGGACTGTCTCCTGTGGACTCCACGCTGGAGCAGGGGAAGTGTCAGGAGTCCTCTCCCTGAGGAGGAAGGAGTGGCAGAAACAACATGGGATGAACTGACTGCAGCCCCCCTTCCCCATTCCCCCACTCCCCTGTGGCGCTGGTGGGAGGAGGTAGAGAAATTAGGAATAAAGTAAAGCCCCAGAGGAAGGGAGGGGTGGGGGAAAGGTGTTTTAAGATTTGTTTCCATTTCTCATTATCCTACTCTGGTATGATTGGTAATAAATTCAACTAATTTCCCCAAGTTGAGTCTGTTTTGCCTGCGATAGCAATTGGTGAACGATCTCTCCCTGTCCTTATCTCGACCCATGAGCATTCCATTATATTTTCCCTCCTCTGTCCAGCTTTGATGGGCACCCGGCATCCAGGCAGGGTCAACCCACCGCAGAGACAGAGATATCCCTGCCTATTCACATCTTTCTGCTATATTAAAGACTTGTCTTAATCACCAGCTTCAACAAGCCTTCTCAGCCACGAGCCCACACACCATGGCATGGAGAACATCAGTGATTTGTCCATCACACTGCGGACAGGCACTCACCTTCTCTAAGTAGGTGTAGAGGACAGTCTTGGGGGACAGAGACCCTTCCCGCAGTCTCCCAGTGAGTTCCAGCAGGGGCAGGGACAGGATGGCATCTGTCTGGACGCTGGGGACCTGCAAGGGGAAGATGAATGGCATGCCAGGACAGCAGCTCCAGCTACCCTTTGGCTCCGTGGGAGTAAATCTCTTATGTTTTGGCAACGTTATCAACAAAGCTTGCTGGAAAGACAGACTGTGCATGTGGGGGCTAGACCTTGGGCTGTTGAGTGTTTCATCTTGAGCCTGGATGTCATGAACATGATAAGCACAGGAGCCCAGCTGTCTCTGAAGGTACAGAAGACCCTCATGCATCCATTGCAGCAAGGGACAAGGCAATGGCCCACATCAGAGCCTTCCTCCTGGCACTGTGAGACTTGCCCACTGACCAAGAGGTAATCTCAGCTGAGCAAACACCAGCCTGGGCAGAAGGTACCTAAGTCCTTGCACTCAACCCTCAGGCTGGCTCTTCACCTCTCAGAATGGGTACAGAGAGTGTGGATCAGCCCAGTGTGGGGACAAATACCTAATTGCTAGTGAGAACTATTTTGAAGACTCTCCAAGAGCCATCCAGAAGCCAGGTTTTAGAGACAAAGATATAGGGGTGTGGACGACTGTGTAAACTTAGAGTAGGAAGAGGAAAAAGCTTTCTTGCTTCTACCCACAGATGCAAGAAACATTTCTAGACCCTGAAAGAACTGGGTTTTGGAACAATGGAAACCCAGTGCTTCATCACCTGTGTTGTCCAGAACCTCTTCCCAGTGAGTAATTCACATCTCCCTGGTTGTAGACTCCCACTGCATCTCATCCAGCTTGAGGAGAGCAGTGACCTCCCTTCCTCCCAAGGCAGCCTTTCCTCTCATTGAGGGATGCTGGCACATTTCCCCTGGACTGCTCATTATAAAAACTATGGAGGCATGAGCTGGAAGGAGGAGCTGAAAAACAACATCAGCAGACACCCTGGTGGGACTCAGACCCCCTAGAAGGACAGGTTACCTGCTCCCTGAACTGCTGGACAATCTTTGCCATTTTCTTCAAACCCTCATCCCGGGTCCTCCGAGCATCTTCCATTTTCTTCTGGATCTGCCTTTTGCCCAGCCATTTCCAGACCACCACAGCTGCTGCTGAGCTGCAGAGCAGGGCAAGGGCTGCAGAAGGATCCACCTCCCTCTCTGGCAGGAGCTGTCTCAGTGGTAGCTGGATCATAACGTGGCCTTCTGGTCTCCAGGGATGGAATGAGAAAGAAAAGCAAGGCAGGAGCAGATATCCCCTGCCTCTCCAGACCTGTCACTCCTCCCAACACCACCGCCTTGGGTCAGCAAATAGTTTATAAGTCCAAAGCTGACCTCTGCAAAGCTGTCTTCAGTGGAGCATGAAGTGGAGAATGATTAACTGGGAAAAGGAAAAGGTGAAGCTTGGCCAGTGAACCTTGGGGCATTGAGTTTATAGGGGCTTTCTGGACTGTGGGAAGTTTTGCACTGTGGGAGGAAGGGCTGTGGGATCAGCTGAACAAAAGAAGCAAGGAAATAGCTGCTCTTCTATTTCCTGCGTAGCCTGAGAGGACAATGCAGAAGGGGAAAAAACAGCTTGAAATCACAAGACTTTCCTGCCTGGGGATGGGTGATGGTATGACGAGAGGATGTATAGCTGTGGGGTACCCTCTCACTTACCAAATCCCTTAAGCCCATGCTGCTCCCATGGTGGCCAGAGGCTGTTTCAGGAGGCCTGCGAGATAGGGCTCAGCACTGCTGTGATGTCTCTGTGCACCAGAAGGAGAGGCTGTTCCACCCCATGACAGAGCACACTGGCATTGCCTTAGGAGCGGAAAATCCCACAGGGTTGCAGGCCAAAAGCCAACTAATTCCAACAGACATTGGGACAGCTAGTGTCTGAGGTCTTTCCAACACAGATGCCTCTCGCTACAAGCACGCAAGAACCATACACTGAGCTGCAGGCAACAACCCAGCCAACATCAGCCCCAAAGCCAATGCTGTGGTCTGTTTGTGATCTGCTCTGACGGTTTTGGATGGTGGGTCCTCCTATGGATCCCAACTTGAAAAGGGTTTTTGGGCAGCTACACTGTGCATTACAAAACTTTAAAAGGTTGCACCTGTTGTCCAGAGGCCCAGAACCTGATCCTGCTCCAACAGGTGTGGAACTGGATATGGAAGGGAAGGTGAAGAACCTTTTCCCATCAGGGCTAGGTTGTCCTCTCATGATTGATTTTTCATCCATTGTCTTGTCCATTCTTAGTGGTTGTAAGAGCTCTCTGTTGTTTTCTGTAACAATTCGTGTCAGTGGGGAACGTCTTCTCCTTATTCTGAATTGGGGAAATTTATGAAGGACTCTGAACACGACTGGCTTTGGCATCCTCTAAGAGACAGCCTGGAGCTGACAGCAATTAGCTATGTGGTAACAAATTAAGCTGGTCTTTTACTGTGTTCACCTTCAGTGGCACCTCTGGTCAGAGGATGCCTCCTCAGCTGAGATACTGCTGGTTTCTCAAGAGCAGCAGCATGGGGAGATGCCTGCAGCCCATCCAGCTCCTGCTCCTGCCCCATGGTGTTGGCTGTAGCAAGTGCCTCCAGAAGGCACATATGAACATGGTGAGCACACAGCAATACCCAGCCCTCTCCCAGCCTCCGGGAATCTGTGCAAGGACTTCCTGAGGCAGAAGTGGGCTCTTCGCCTACGTGACAGCACCATAACCTCTGTGATGGGCTGAGCAAAGGTGGGAAATTTTATTCCCCGTGCTGGGAAGTGTTAGGGCATTGGCTTCCCACATCCACTTGTGCACTGGGACCTGTGCTCTGATCTGCCCTTTAGATGCTCAGCAAACGTTTAACAGAGGCAGAGCCAGCTGTGTCCGGACCAGCTTGGTATTTCAAAGGGCAGAATTATCAGCAGGCACAGCTGCATTTCCAGGTGGCAGGATGCTGCTGAGGAAGCCCTGCATGAGCATCACCACCTCCTTCATGAACCGGAAGTATGACTTCCCCTGCCAGCGCAAGGCCATGCACGGCATGTCCACGGGCAGCCCCACGGCTCCTACCACAGCCTGTACTGGGGACACAAGGAGTGGTGAGTGACTGCAGGGAGTGAAGCTTCAATTCACCCTCAGGAATAGGATGGTTTCAAAATCCAAGCCTGTTTTGCACCCTCTGAGTAGACCTGCTGAGGCACTCCAAGAGCTGTATGAAACTAGAGAGTCCCAGCCACAGAGGGGAGCAGCTACATGAAGGTGGTTGGGATGGGTCACAGTGGGTGGCTTTGTGTGGACCCACGTCTAGGTGAAGGACAGCAATGGATGCTTGGGAGAAAAGTCTGCTGAGAAGGAGACCGCTGTCCCCATGGGGAAACTGAGGCAGGGAAGCAAAGGGATGTCCCAGGCCAAATCTCAGGTCCATAGCAGAGGAGACAGACCTGCTTGACTCACAGGTCAGTGTTCACTCCTTCACATTGCACTGGTGTGCTCTAAACCACCAAGGCTAAGTGCAACGTTTTTGCAGTGTTTTTCTCACCTGATTTGATCCAGGTCCGAGGTCAAACTCACCAGTGGAGTGAAGATGAAAGCCAAGACCCTTTTCACAAGAAGAGTCAGCTTGTAGCAGCTGACTTGGGATTTTACTGTGGCATCCACGACATCTCCTTCACTTTGGACCATCACAGAAAAAAGGCAGTTAGACCAACTCAGAGAGTCCACCCCTGTCCCCAGCACGAGCTACATCATCTTTGCAAAAGTAAAACTGCACTGATGGGCTCTCATCACACTCTGTTCAGCACCTTCACTCTCAAGCCCGCTGGGTTTTGACTGAAATTTTCTATAACTGTCCTTCCTCTGAACCAGTAATCACTATTTTTAGGTCAGCTTTGGCTTAATTTTGATTAGAATAACAAAGAATAAACCCTGACAGTTGCGTCTCATGTTCTTGTTTTTAGAAGCAAGCACTTGAAGCGCTTTTTCCAAACAATTTACAAGATGAGGTATGTTAACTACGCTGCTCTGAAAGAATTTTAAAGACATTTCACGAAATGCTGAGATGAGAGTGAAATGGGCTGGTCCCCTTTGGAGAAGTTTTTCCAGTTGGCTAAGAGGGTTAAATAAGTGTTTTCTGGGAACTCTCCAGTTTCTGACTCATTTCACCCTGGAATATGTATTGGAAGCATGAGACTTTCCTCGATTCCAGTCCAACTCCACCAACACTTACAGAACATAACAGTCGGTAAGAAATTTGCCACTACTTATTCTATGCCTTTCTGACAACCAAGAACATCAGTTGAAAGGTGGGGGTCTGTTTTTATCAACTCTTTTTCATGTTGCTCAGCCAGGACCCTGTCAGCTCTCCCTGAATAAACTGAGATAGGAGGGGGAGAGAAACCTCCCACATCAACCCTCACACCTCTGACAGCAGGGGCTGCTTTTTCTCCTGAACATCCCTGCATTTTTTCCATTTTTGTGGGTATTGCACTCTTTTGCCTTCCCATTGCCAAGTGGATTGTATGGATCCTGCCTACAACTTCTCCAGCATGGTAGAGACACCATCAGCAAAGACACTGCAGAGAGCTGTTAGTTCTTACCAGAAGTCCAGGAGTGTTCTTACTTCTTCCATCATGCTTGGTGTCTTGCACAAGTCTGTCCCCATGAAGTGACAGCAGAGACTTCAGCGCCCTGGTGGTGAAGGACTGGGATGTTCCCAGCTGCTCCATGGCTGGGCTCTTCACTGGTCTCACCATAGGAAAGTAGGGCAAGGGGGAAGCCAGGAGATTTGAGTCTGAAGTAGGAGAACAGTAACAAGAAATAAAAAAAAAAAAAAAAGAAACATCAGTTTTGATTACAACAGGTATATATATCATGCTTGCTGCAGAGTAACCTCCAGGTGCTCTTGAAGTAGAATCAATAGGAAGCAACTACAGGATTTAGCAAAGTGAGTATTGTTTAACTTCACTATAGCAGATACTAAAAATGAAATATATATATGAAAGAGTACCTTGATTTTTGAAATGCAGGGATGATTGTGACTGTTAAAGTCATTAATCAGAAGTCATGGACAGTTTTCAGTCTACAGATTTATAAAAAAAAGTCTCATAATGTCTTATGGCTAATAATGCTATGTCTGGATGAATGCTGCTTTTTTTTTTTGATAAGGAGTGTGGAGAGGTGGGATATTACAATTAATTACAAGGAACTTGCATGGAAAGAAAAATGATGATTTGTCTATTTATGCTGCAGCTGTGCAGGCGGTAATATAAATGTTCTCTGCCCATTTACTTTTGAAAGAAGAGTATGACACACTTTCTTGAGTTAATTTTTGAAAGAGAACTCCACTAGGTAATACAGTACAAAATAAACTTTTAATGCTAAAAACTGAAGATTCCCATTCTTGATCCATCATTTGGAAAAAAAAAAAAAAAAAGGAAAGAAAATATAAAATAAAAAAAAAGAGAGAAAAGCAGGTTGAGACTTTACTTGGAGAGATGAGGATGTGTGCAGCTAACAGCTGTTTCAGAGTGAAAGATGTACCAAACCTAATTCTTGCATTTTTCTGTTTCAAGGGTGAGCCTTGCCATGTCAAGGTGTTTCATTTCACCTCTAGTTGAAATATTCACTTTGAGCTTCTTCAACTACCTCCTCCCTTGAAACTTGTTTGAAGCTTCATGGCCGTTCGAGACTCTAATGCCCTCTGCCACTTTCTGTGACATGCTAGAGGTCTGTTCAATTTGGATGCTGTTAGAGGCCACCTGACCTGCCCCGACAACTCATGTTCTGCTGATATCAGATCGAGAGAGTTTTATTTGCTCCTGATGTCCTGGCTATACAAAGCCTAACCTGCAACCTAAAAATAAACCCTGCAAAAGAAATTAAAACCGAATAAAAAAGCTGGATTGTCTGATAACTCAACCTCTCAACCTTGCTCAGTTACTTACCTGGTCACAGAATGAAACATGGGCTGAGGAGAACAGATTTAAATTCTTAAAATCAGGAGGAAGGAAGACTAATGATCAAAACAAAGACCACAGCCAGGATATTGTGGTGGAGATGAGAGAAACAAGTAGAAACAAAGCCCTTTTAGCCCAAACAACATTTCTACCTAGTTCTCTGAGACAGACCAAAGCCTGGACTTTGGTCAGTGCCAGGCGGCTGGACAAGCATCCTGTAAACACAGGGTGCAGACGGCCAAGGGCTGAGCAGCCTGAGCCAACACCTTATGTTGAAGGGGTCATGGAAGGGTTTGAAACACAGCAGATCTGTGCCAGTGGCTGTGAGAAGGAGCTGACATCCTCTCACCGGCCCCAGGGAGGTCTAGAGGAAGAACTCTCCTGCAAACCTAAAAAGGCCTTCCCCTCCGTGAGTTTCAGCGTCTGATCTCACCAGACTGCTCTGAGCATCACCCTCTCCCCTTTCCCCCTCAACATTCTTGCAGCAATGCCAATGGATATCATGGACAACCTGACTTGAGAAGGACCCTGAGTTTTACTCCAGAAGGCGCTTTGTTCTCTGCCAAGCTGAGGCACTTATCTGCTCTTTAAATTCCTGAACAGACCTCTACATCTGGTCCAAACATGTATCTTGTCTCCCTGACACCTATTCCATCTTTTTCTGGACCTTTCTCTACCTCATCCACTTCAGTGCCAAGAAACCAAGGCTGAGAGCACCTATGCACTCTTCTTCAGTATCTGTTGGACTGTATTGAGGACTTCTCTTTGGGTGTGGGGTCCTGGGAGCTAGTTCTGCAGGATCCTGAGATCTAATGACTTGCTGGAGGCAGGAGAGGGAAGAGTGGGAGGAACCATAAATCCCTTCCAGAGCCACCCACAAAGAGCAGCTGGAATGCAGAGTGTAAGTATGCATGGGGAAATTCCTTTCAGAAATAGGACCCTTTCACTTCACTCAGCCTTGCAAAGATATGGAGGGAAACACGAGCCAAGGACGTTGTCCTTTCCTTGCAAAACAAGGTCTGGGCATGCTCAGATCCAGCCAGCAATACTGCCTGGGCAGGTTACCTGTTTAGTGGTGGGCTCCCATCTCTTCCCTATGAGAGGACAGCTCAATATCCTTTGCTCCTGGCATGAGACAGTCACGGTCACTTGGCAGACCCCTATCAGGCAGGAGGTCTGTGGCTGGTGCTGCCCAGCAGCAGTATTGCAGAGACATCTGGCACCTTCTGCAAGCAGGGCTGTGCCGTGGACCTTCTCCCTTCTCTGTGCTGAGAGCAGGATGGTGACTCAGGGCTGAGGAGCCAGGACTCATCTGTGTGACTCAGACCTGCTTGTGACCATGGGAGGCTGCTGGAGGTTGGCAGTGTGTCTGTGCAGCCCCCGGGAGGCAGATGAATAACAATGGAGTCACCCCTTGGCCCTGTAGCTTTCTCCTCCTCTTGGGGAAACACTCCAGTGCCTGGAGAGTTATGCAGGCTTGGAGGAGGCATGGACCATCGCTAACATGGATGCCTTATTTCAAGGTACACTTGCTTATTCAAAGCATTTCGGTCTTCTCCCCTTCACCTTCCCTTCCAGCCTCTTCCTCCACTGCTAAGAGAGAGAAGGACTGGTCGAGAAACAGCACACAATTATCAACAGTGAGGTTGGAAGCACCAAACAGTGTGAACGGTCTAAAGGTAGCCATGGAAATGCTTAAACTCAGGTTTCCCTCAAGTGCTTATAGGCAATAAGAAATCCCCAACCTTCTTTTCCCACTGCTTAACTGGAAGAAACAATGAGGAACAGGAGTGAAGATAGACCAGTTACCATTTCTCACAGCTTATGTTAAGGAAAAATAAGCTTTTCACTACTGGTTGCACAACTGCAGAGCCCACTGCCACTGGATGGTGTGGAGATCAAGAGAGTAAATGAGGTCAGGAAGGGGCCCAACAAGTTCGTGAAGGAGAGCTTTCTTGGCAGCTCTTAAAAATGATGGCTGACTGCAAGTATTTGCAAAAAAAGTCTCCCAGCCAACCAATGGCACAGCCAGAGAGGGAATCCTGTACTTACCAGGTTATAGTCTCCCACAAACATCTGCTCCTGCCCACTGCTGAAAGTAAAATATTGGGGTAAACAGGTCTTTGGTCTCATATCATACAACAGATATCATTACACTATAGTTATTGGACTCCATTGGTCCTGAATTAACTCTCACTCCTTTCGTTTTTTTTTTTGGCTTTTTTTTTTGACCCAATTTAATTCTAACAAAGAAGGACAATTTGAACAGAGATGAGATTTTTGCTGACTATTTTAAAAGAGCACTTATTGCCAGTTTAGTGAAAGAGTGGTTCAGAGTCTGCAGGTCACTGTCTATTTTGCTCTGTGCATCAGGTAGAAGATGGCTGGAGAGAAGGGCAGGGAATGAGAAGTCATCACGGTGGTGGCAGGTTGCCAGGAATCACACATTTCTCTTCGTGCCGTGGGTAAGTGTCTCCACCTCCTTCATGAAGCGAAGACACAGCTCCTCCTGCCACGGCAGAGCCACGCACTGGACGGCCACCGGCAGCCCCACGGCTCCTTCCACGGCCTGCAAAGATTAAACGTGGTGCTGAGTCAGAGCATCAGAGCACCTGGGGATGCACGAGAGAGAACGCTCTCTCTTGGCGTTATAGGAAGAGGAGAGGAAGGAAGACATGCAAGGGGACAGTCGTCAGGCTGATGTACACCAGCCCAGCTGCACCACACGCAGGGCAGTAACGTGGTGCATGCAAACTGTGTTTACTAAATGGGCTCCCACTCTCATCAGAAGATGCAGACAAGATGTCCCAAGACACCTTGGGACAACGTGCCAGAGGTGTCACTGTGCCAGTCACAACCTTCTGCTAAGACTTAAGCTCTTTTCCCTGCTGACCTCTTTCAGCCTCTTGTCCCAAGGGTCTCCGTGGTGCCCTCGGTAATGCTTCAGTTCTTCTTCGTCGGCTCTCGTGACCGTGCTGACCGGCACCACCCCGGCAGGGAAGTTTAGGACATTGTATAAATTGGTATAGGAGGTCGCAGCTGGAAGAGATCACACAGAGCATGCAAAATGGCAAAATTTAGTGTGCTGGCCCAGCAACTACTTTTGGATGGCAATCTAGGTTGCAGGAATTGTAGAATGGAGTTGAGAGAAAAGAAGAGACCATGAAAACATGCTGCTTTCAAAGGGACTTTTGATGGAGAGGTTTGAGGGCCACATGGCTGATGAGACCAGAAAGAGACACACCTGTCAGTCAGGTGGAGGTTAGATTTGCTCTGTGACAGACAGATGCAAGCATCTGATCTGATTCCAAGTCTGTATCTATATCCCCCATAGCTCAGGGAAAAATCCCAGCTCTTTTTCCGAGATAATCCAGGTGTGTATTTCTGTAACAACCTCTTGAGGATTTTGGATCCCAAAGGGCCATTGCTAGAGAGATGGAGGACCCTGATTGATTGCTGAAAGCTATAAAAATGACCTTTTTCTGCAAGTCACAAACAACGAGCCTTTTTGCTATTTTCAAAGTCTTGGGCAATGTAAAATGGCCATATTCAGAATGGTCTGGCCTTATCCTAGGCCTACCACCCTTCTAGCAACTATCCTCACCGCCAGGGTCTGCTGCAAGAATAGCTCTTGGGCTTTCTACAGGACAGATGAAACTCACCCATGAATGACTGGGACAGATATGCCACTAATTGCTGCCCCATAATAATCCAAACACCTGTAGTTCAGATGAGGTGGGGGCATGAGAAGACCCACCCAGAGGTGACCTCTCCTTTGC